AAGAGAAGGGTGGGAGGAGTATAACCAAAGGGATGTTAGCAGTATAAATAGGAAGCAGCCATCTTAAATAAACTGGCTTGGTAACAGCTTGCTTATCTGCTTCTGTTGTCAGTGCTGTATCCACCAGAGCTTGCATTATAGACATTGAAGTTGTCCTTTCTGCCCTAAGGGCTGAGTCCCTGCAAGATGGTAGTCACGGCAGCCTCCAGACCTCTTTAGCCCCTCTCGTGAGGAGCATGGATCTCCATGGAAAGGATCTGACAATCATCCACCACTGTTGTTTTCTGTGGACTCCTCCCCTGTGGCTACTGTTCCTACTAAGGCTGCAGTGTGGGCTGCCTCTACCTGAGCTCTGCAGCCACAGTCCCGCCTCGCTATGGCTGGCTCACCTTCTTGGCCCATTGTGTGATTGCCAGCGGCCCGAATTTCACATCAGAGACACATGCGGCCCGTGTTCTGGGCAAGCGAACTGCCGGTCAGTCCTCCAGGCAGATGAATAGGCTGGAGGGCATGTCCCAGTGGGAGAGGATTCCTCTCCTAGAGTGGGGGAGAGGGGCATTACAGTTGGCATGGGTGGAGGGGGTGCACTATGAGAGGGGCCTCAAAGAGGCTCTGCTAGCCCCCTTCCTTACCATGATACCTCTCCTGGGCTTGCTGTGCAACCCCCTTTTGCATTATCCCCCTGGGATGGGCATCCTGGCACTGGGTTGGGCAGGAGGGCTCAGGACTTGTTTTCTCTTACCAGGTGGCTCTAGACCGAGCCTTGTCCCAGGCATCTGTGGCTACTGATCCTGTGAATTTCCTGCTGGTTGCTACAGTTCTGGCCCAGCCTTCTGTTGGCTCAGCTCCACTGCTCCAGTCGACTCCTGCACTGTCTGGTGAGTGAAGTTCTGTTGCTGGGGACAGCCGGGTTGGGGGAGGAAGTGGTGCATGCATTGCACTGAAGCAGGAGTGGGGTAGCTTGGTTAGTTGCAAGCACAGGTTTATAGATCAATATTAGTATAGCACAGGGGCTGGGTCAACGCGACCCCCTTCTCTTGATGTGCAGGTTCGTGTAGGATGGGATAGAGCCCCACTAGTTTCCAGTCTGTGGGGAGCAGCGTGCCTGGGATGGGGAGGTTGAATGAGGTGCATTCTCTGGTTGTGTCCGTATTTCCCCCCGCTGCTTCAGAGTTGGTTTCAGGGCTATCTACCGCTGGGGTGGATTTGGAGGTGGTGCAAGCCACCTTGGCGTGGCGTATATGTGTTGGTCGGGCCCATTAGGTTTGCATTTGCAACAGGAAGTTAAGGAGAAGATCTGGAAGAGGAAGTTTGTGGAAATATTTTCCCTGCTCCCTCTGGAGGATTTGACCCCACCCAATAAGGAGTCAAAAGACTCAGAGAAGGACAGGGAGAAGTGTTGATTTAGGAAGATTCTTAAGACATTTTGGAACTAGATCTTGGCTTTCTCGATTCTGGCCAGCATTGTTAGGGAGAAGACACAGGAAAAGTGCTTGGCCATGTTCTGTTACCAGGACATGATGTTGAATACGTGCCGGGTCTATGATGGTTTGAGTTGGTGGCATTACGACAAGCATTCCTCCCAGAGATTGATTGATATTGGTCGGAGCAGTTCCACCAGAGGGTGGGACCAGATGGATATTGACCTGTGGTTGTCGATTATGACTTGCCCAGCTTCAAAATCAGGGGTGGGAGGGGGTTGAGCAAGGGGGACCCCCTACACACCGGCCTTGCCATGACCCTCGTGCTGCTGCTGTCAGTTCAATTATATCCATTGTAAGTGGAGGGCTGTCTGCAAACATGAGTGCTCCATGTGTAGGGGCTCCAACACTGCAGCCCGCTGCTTCAAGCAGGGAAAGTCTGGGAACTGAGACACGCCGTGCCTGCAAAGGGTGAGGACGCTGGTGGACGTCAGCGCGATGCGCCAGTGGCTAAACTGCTATAAGAATCATAGGGTGGCTGACTTTCTACTTGGGGGTTTCAGTGATGAGTTTTGGATTACCCATAGGGTCAGGGAGGCCACGTGAGCGTGTTCGAACCTTAAGTTGGTTTCAGATTAACCCGCTGTGGTGCAGGACAAGCTCAGCATGGATGTATCGTTGGGGCACATGGTGGTTGCTTTTCCTGCTCCTCCAACCTTAGGGTCTTCCCCTGGGCATGGTGCCCAAGAAGGAGCCGGACAAATTCTGGCTGATTCATAATTTGTCATACCCTCAAGGGGGTTTAGTAAATGACGAGATTGACGCTGAGTTGTATAGGGTCTCTTATGCCTATTTTGATGTGGCGGTTCATTTGGTCAGCACAGCTGGACCGGGATCGCTGATGGAGAAGGCCATCTCTAACACTAAGTGTCAGGAGAGGAAAGGGGAAAAAGAACACTAAGGGGGAGGGGTGAAGAACACTAAGATGGGTGGCACTAAGAGACAGGTAAGGGGAGGAGAGGAACACTAAGGAACAGGGGAGGGAGGGGGAAGAACACTAAGGGACATGGAGGGAGGGGAGAGGAAGACTAAGGGAAGAGCAAAACTAACAGACAGGAAAGGAAAAAATAACAGGGAAGGGAAGAAGAACACTAAGATGGGGTCACTAAGAGACAGGTAAAGGGGGGAGAGGAACAATAAGAGAGGGGAGAGGAACACTAAGGAACAGGGAATAGGCCCACTAATGGACAGGAAGGGGAGGGGAGAGGCGCACTAATAGACATGGAGGGGAGGAGAAAGACACACAGATGGGCCTGGGTGTGAGAAAGATGCACAGAGGGGCTGTGGATGAAAGAGACACACAGAAGGGCCTGTGGGTGGAAATATAAAGGGGTTGGGGGTGAGAGAGACACAGAGGGGCTTGGAGGTGTAAGACACACAATGGGAAACAATAGGGGATAAAATACACTAAATGGGGTAAGACCTTTAAAAAGGGGGATAAGAAAAAAAGGGTAAATTGGCACACAGGTGAAGATGCTTTTTTTGGGGGGGTGCAAAATCATTTTCGACTGTGTACCCAAAAATCCTTGCACCAGCCCTGACTGTAGGCACCTCTAACATCTTATAACTTCTAATGTTCTCTTTAACCCTGCATAAACTCACTATAGTCACAGATTTACACACAATATATTACAAGTAGAAATATGGAGGGTTTTTGGGGGTTTTTTTTTGGAGGGGCGGCAGTGGTGCTTTAAAATTCTATACCTACAGGCAACTGCCAAATAAGTTAAACCCTGGTTATAACTTCTAAAAATTTACTGAAATCCTAGACATATTATGCATTTTAACAATCAGGACTAATTAGTGAATCTATTTTGAATTATTTTTCTTTAGTTGAGCATTTGTAGAAATTATTATATACAAAACTGTGATATCATATATACAGAAAATGTGACCTTGTGGTTGAAAAAATGCAAGACAAAAGAGCCAAAAAGTCTTCATCACATACACGTCGCAACTCAAAAGAGCCTTGGTGCTTAATGGATTAATGTTTTATCTATGCATACATACTTTGTTATTAACATATTTCATGACTCCTGTTTATTGTTTTATCAAAAAATTGATTTATGAAGGAGTTAATCACATTGATTTATGAAGGAGTTAATCACTGTACACTTGCTAAAAGTGCTTTATCAACACAAGTAGCAGTAATGACAATACAATTATATTCATAACAAGAATATAAGTAATATAAAAGTATTATTAAGAATGATAACAATAATAATATAACTCGGTGAATAGAATCCTGGCATATAAAAGATACTTGCTGTCTGTGTGTAATTAATTGTGTACTTCTGCAAAGCATTTTTAAAGTATGGTGGAAATACCATATTCTTTGATTTGCAGCACTTAAATCAGATATTTTATTCCATTTATCAATGTGTAGATGACGCATGCCAATCCTTTTGAGACTTTATTAGAAAGGTGAATGAAAAAAATGAAGGTTAGAGGTCATGGCTAGTTAATTTTATATTACAAGAACTCTCGAGATCTTTTGTAAGAAAGTTAGCAGAAAATCTTTTAAAGCTTCAAATAATATTAATATGCTTCTAAAGTCGAATTCTTTAACCTATTAATGCCTTTAGGGCATATTATGCTACTCTGCAAAAGCAGGGCTTTAGTGCAGTCAGGGCGATGATGCCGCGATCACATGACTGCATCGATAGTTTAAATTATTGCATAGTTGTCCTGCAGATCCCCAAGCATAGAATAATTTAAATATATATATATACCTAATTTATAGAAAATGTGTGTCTGTGTATATATATATATATATATGTACATATATATATATATATATATATATATATATATATATATATAAAGAAAGTTCCAAAGATAGCACTCCAGGGACTTGTAAAAAATTCACTTTTATTACCTATTACAGCAATGCTCCATCTGGTTCCACTCTAGATGCACTTTTTGTTATGTTTTTAACCACATTGTCACATTGTCTCTGTAGAATTAGGGTTTGTAAACATTAGCTGAGTTGCTAACCAACTGGTACACAATATGCACAACCGGGTGTCGTCATCCTCGGTTTGAGTTACTCTCGTTCTGGGCTCACTTTCTTTTCCTCCCTCTGAACACCTTTAACTTAGGCTTTGTAATCAATGTCCTATAAAAGGACATTGTATTAAAAAAAGTCTGCTATAGGAATGAAACATTGATCTTGTTCCTTTGACACTGAATCTGCTTCAATAAATGCATTTATATTCCTCTGAAATTCATCCTGTCAGTACCCTCTTAATTTGTTTATATATATATATATATATATATATATATATAAAATGAAAATAATCTTGCACTCCACCTTCTTAAACGATTTAATCCCCGGTGCTGGTCAGCCAAAATACAAAGAAAGTTCCAAAGATCCAGGGACTTGTAAAAAATTCACTTTTATTACCTTCAATCAAACATCCAAAATGTCAACGTTTCAGCCCAATAACCTCAGGCTTTCATCAGGACATAATATGTGTACAAATAAACCCACATTTATACCATAACATAAATGATAACTCACCACACTTGTGACACGTCTGACTCCATGGACGCCCGGACCGGGACTGCCGCGGGCTGCCCGACGTACGTCTGCAGCCGCACGGCGTCACGCTCAATGACGCGGCCAAGGGTCATCACCATAGCAACCTATAATAACAAATGTGATGTAACACACTAATCTAATCGTAAAAACAATGTATCCACTATTTCACGCTACATTCATGGGGATTTAACACTTCAAATAGTTATACAGTATACAAAGCTAACAATTATGTTATTTAAACCATGCTGAGTATACATATTGAACTTAACAGCTGAACCAGCAATCGGCTGAATTGACCATAGCTACCAATCACTTTGAAATTTATGAAATCAGGCTAAAAAAATTGAAAATCTATCAAAATCACAAGAGAGAAGTGTTGAATCCAAGGACATTAGACATAAATACATGGCTTGCCTAATCATAAAGTATCACATGTGTATCCCAAGACTAACACATTAAGTTATTCATAAGGCAAGATCTAGAACTAAATAACCATTCCCACTATGGTCATAATGAAATCAAACCCTCATAAAAATAGGGGAGTGGTGATAGAAATATTAGAGCATACCACAAATAAACTCCATAAATACAACCTTATTGATTACAAGACATCCAGTGAGGACATCCCTCTAATAAACTGCAGATAATCAAAAGAATTCAAAGCTGTCTCATAAAAATTCTATCTACCCTAGTTGCTATGGGTCAATGAAAGGGTAGCCTATCCCTCTGGGTGGGCACCCAATACTCACCCCAAAATAATAGCAAAAGAAGATGAATGCGCACAGTGGCAAGAGAAATATAGACATGTATGCCTATCCCCCAGGGTGGGCATCACATAGTTCATCTCATTGCCATCGCTGAAAAACAAATGCTCAATATTTATAAAAATGCAGACAGAGTATATTTTTCATTAAGACCTTCTGGATATACTGTTCTCAATGTTCTAATCCAAAACAGTTCTCGTTGTAACAACAACTTCTTACGGTCGCCTCCCCTCCAAAGGGGTGGTATATGATCAATTGCCATAAGTTTTAAAGTCGGAAGCGTATGCCCTTTCTCCAAAAAATGTTTGGCCACAGGTAAGTCCGATTTCTGATCTCTGTATGCCACCCTTACGCTGTATCTATGGTTGCGAATGCGTTCGCGCAAGGGTAGATCCGTCTTGCCAATATACGCGAGTCCACAAGGGCAGGTTAGCTTGTATATTACAAAGTCAGTGATGCAAGTTAAACGATGTCTAATGATGTACTTCTTCCCTGTATGAGGATGGGAAAACGATTTACCAGATAGCATGTGCCCACAAGTGACACAGCCCAGGCACTTATAGCAGCCCAAGTTGACAAAGCACTGTTTATCCTCATAACAATGTATAGGGTCCGTCTTCACTAACAGATCCTTCAGATTTTTGTTTCTCCTATAGCACATCATGGGTGGTTGACAAAATATTTCTGGTAAAGACATATCATTCCTCAAAATCCTCCAATTTTTCTCAATCATTTGCTTAAATTGTGGAGATGCTGTGGTGTATGTTGTCGGAAAGACCAATTTCTTTATCGGTGGAGCTTCTAAAGTGGCTTGTGCTGAATAGCACTTGTCAAGCGCTTTGCGTAGCACAAAATCACTGTAGCCACGTTGTTGGAACTTTTCCCACATAAGACCCAATTGTTCCTCGGCCTTACCCGGGTCTGAGTTATTTCTCATGACCCTAAGGAATTGAGAATATGGTAAAGATTGTTTGAGAGCATTAGGATGGAAACTATTCGCTTGAAGTAAAGTATTACGGTCAGTTGATTTTGTAAAAAGCGTGTATGCCAACTTGTTGCCTTCTCGTATGATCCGTACATCTAGGAAATCCACTGTAAGAGGATCCATTGTCGTGGTTAACTGTACATTCGGTGTGCATGAATTAATATATTGGACCATGGATTCTGCAATACTATTATCTCCCTTGATGATCATAAAGATATCGTCGATGTAACGACTGTATGACAAAATGATATCTTTAAAAGGTTCCAATATGTGTTGGGTTTCAAATTCAAACATGTATCCATTTGCATACATCGGGGCCATAGCCGTACCCATAGATGTACCTGCTGACTGTCTGTACCACTCAAGTTCAAACCGAAAATAATTTTGTGTCAACACCAGTTCCAAAATTTCCATGACGTATTCAATTGGAGGTCCCATATACTTGTCTGAGGATGCAAGAATTCGTTTCATAGCCTGAACCCCCCCTGTATGGGGTATGATCGTGTACAAACTCTTCACGTCGCAAGTGACTAGTGTTATCAGACCAGTCGGTAAGGATAGTGTGGAGATCATTCTAATGAAGCTTGGAGTGTCCTTAATATACGTTGGTAAACTTTCAATTGTTTTCTTAAAAAGGAAGTCCAACCACTTTGCCAGGGGTTCTAAAATACCCCCTACAGCCGACACAATTGGTCTCCCCAGAGGGTCCTGAAGATTTTTGTGGATCTTGGGGAGTGTATGATGTAAGAATTCCCACAGGTCCTGATCGATAAACTTCTGTTCCAGACCCCTTAATAGAACTGCATCTATCAGGAGCTTGACTTGAGGTGTAGGGTCACAGCTTAATTTTAAATAAGTGTGGAAATCAGATAGTTGTTGTATTACTTCCAATCTATATTTCACATAGTCTTGGATAACAATCCCCGCACCTTTGTCTGCTGACCTGATAACGATGTTTTTATCCGTAGCCAAGGACTTAATAATTTCCCAATCCAATTTTGAGCAATTAGAATGATGGGAAGGGGTACTTTTCAAATAATCCGTAGTTTCCTTTTGTACTGATCTTAGAAAACTTTTTATGGTGGCTTGATTAGGCACGCTCAATGACGCGGCCAAGGGTCAGCAACATAGCAACCTATAATAACAAATGTTATTATAGGTTGCTATGGTGATGACCCTTGGCCGCGCAAATGTTATTATAGGTTGCTATGGTGATGACCCTTGGCCGCGTCATTGAGCGTGACGCCGTGCGGCTGCAGACGTACGTCGGGCAGCCCGCGGCAGTCCCGGTCCGGGCGTCCATGGAGTCAGACGTGTCACAAGTGTGGTGAGTTATCATTTATGTTATGGTATAAATGTGGGTTTATTTGTACACATATTATGTCCTGATGAAAGCCTGAGGTTATTGGGCTGAAACGCTGACACTTTGGATGTTTGATTGAAGGTAATAAAAGTGAATTTTTTACAAGTCCCTGGAGTGCTATCTTTGGAACTTTCTTTGTATTTTGGCTGACCAGCACCGGGCATTAAATCATTTAAGAAGGTGGAGTGCAAGATTATTTTCATTTTTTGTATTATTCAGCGTTACCCACAGCTGTTTTTCTATGCACCCCCAAATCAAGTAAATCTATTCAAAGAATTAAATGACTATCCACTGACATTTGTTTGATTGTCATTGTGGAGTACGATATCCCTATTTTTATTTTGTTTTGCTGGACACACTATTTAGTGTTGTTGTATCCATGGATGATTTTTTTCACGCTAGCCGGTGGATGTGCTGAACAGGCAGAAATCTGTCAATACAGTGATTCTGATGCAGATAGGATTAGATGGGAAACCTCTACTTCAGATCTCCCTAATACAACTTCATTGCGTGACATATATTTTGAACTACTGAGGCTAAAAAAGAGAGAAACTGATTTGGACCTTCACGGTTTATTTTTATCCGATTATCATCGGAAATTGCAGATCCCAAGGGGTTTCAGGATAAGTAATGTACCCACGATTGGGAGATTGAAACCAGGGATATGTAAAAAGTGGATTTCAGTTCTGAATAAATGTTCATTAGATCTGATGTTAGTGATTATAGAAGATGTAAAGGAGGATTTGATTTCAATTAGGAGGAGAATCACTGAATTGGAAACTAGACAGGCAGTGTTGCTGGCGAGTTCGGAAGCTACATCTACGTTGTTAAAGTTGGAAAACAATATAAAAAATTATAAGACGGATCTTATTAGATTTAAAAAGGATAAGCAAGAAAAAGTGACAGCAGATTATAAGGAGCATAGAGTATATAAGTGGCTCAGTGGTACTAGTGACTTGCCCAGATTTGCAAGAAAGAGAAGACCTATCCGCAAACCTAGACATTACACCATAGATAAGACTTCAGGTAATTCCAGCTCAGAATCTGAACAGAGCAGTTGGGACAGGGAAAGAGTGACCAGCAATTCCCAAGCCCAATCTTTTTTAGAAGATTCAAACCCGGCCAATCCGGGGATACGGACCAGACATCAGAGCAAGATTACTTCATCAGAAGGAGGACAATCACGAGACGAGGACAGAAGGGACGTACCTTCTGGGGGAAGAGGGAGACCACCACATCAGAGGAGATAATGCCCATTTTCAATTTATCCTCTCGAACTTTAACAGGGGCCGAAATTACTCTACTTAGCAAAGGTTTGTCATTTGTACCC